AGCATCCTTACTAAGTAGTTAATGATCTGGAAACAATGTCTTTAAACATACTAGGGGAGCAGTTCAGTGGTGATTCGCTTTGAAAAGGTAATACTGTTTTCATAATGTGAGTAAAACTGTAATTTTTTTATTATTATAAAGTAAAAAGCTGACACACTGTAATATTTTCGTGAAAGGACATACCTTTGGAGTCAGAAGGCTGGGGTTGGAATAACCCCCTCTCAGCTGACTTACTTGGGATGATTTTCTGAGCCATGTTTCCCTGTCCGTGACATGGGATTGATGATACCTACCCTTCCAGATCTTTGTGAGGATCAAATGAGAAGACAGGAAAGCACCCTGTTCTAAGTGTGAGATAGTATAAATTGCTGTCTGGTGGATTTGCATTTTGTGTGTTAGGTTCTTTTACAGCCGCGCACTGCTTGGCTTTGCTTCTTCCTCTGTCTTTGGGGGTGAATCAGCTCTCGCTGGAGCATCTGGCACACTGTGGCACACACAGCCCCCAGAGGGTGTGAATTGGATCTGAAGAGCGGAGAGGCAGAGGGAAATTCTTATCCAGGGAGGGCAGGGAACGAGCTTTGTGCTTAGGGCAGAGGGCGTGTGGGATGAAACAGAGTTTGATTTATGTAACCCAACCTTGTCAGACACCACAGCCAGCTCTTTAAAAAAAAAAAAAGAAGAAAGCCTTTTACTAGTTGGGCCTCTCCTCAGGCGAGAGGCTGATACTATCACATAAAATACATCTTTAGACCTGACTAGACATCAGTTGTTCTGGCCTCAGACAAGTGGGTTATTTTGCAGGGCTGGCTCTTCTGTAGTCAGTCCGGCGTGCACTTGGTGAATGCCCACTGTGTACCTCTATGCTCCCCATTACCCAGGATGAGCCACCGCGCTTACAGGCACAGTGCCTCGCACACGGTGGGGATTTAAACACTTGCTGACCGACTGCCTTCATCCCCTGACCATAGCAAGAAGGTGAGGCTGAGCCAAAGGATACTCACAGGTCTCTGGTGCCTGCCTGTCCTCTCTTAACTGAAGGGAGCACTTTGATCTGCGATGTTAGGGCTCCTTCCCTTGGGGCATTCGTCTCTATTCTTTCCCTCCATGCCTTGGTTCTACCCTGTAGGCTCAACGAATTTGAGGGCTCTAGGGTAAGGCTGCCACCCTGGGGCACCCCGGCTGTGCATTCTAGGAACCCCCATCCTGTGGGGGGAGATGAAGCCAGGTCTAGGAGAGCTGGGTCTTGCTCTGGGGTTGCCCTCGTTATCTCAGGTTGGGTGCTGGGTGCTATGCCAGGTGCCTAAGGGTCAGAGGCCTACTCTTTCCTGGTTCCCCTTCCTTCTCCCCGGCTCTTCCACACCCTCTTCTGGAAGGACCCGTGTTGTCTGGTGTTTTAGTGTCTTTGTGTACTTCATCCTGTTGGGTGAATGCTGACTTCCTTCCTCCGTACTGTTTCTCCCACTGGCCGCCCTTCAAGTCCTTTTTCTTTCCTTTCTAGTCAGGCCCTTTTGTTTAACTTTTAGAAAATATTTTATTTGTTGTAGTTCCTCGTAATCAGGGCACTCTTTGATTTCTTGGTACGAGGCAGCTTGGTTTCCTTTTGGAAAAGGGCCTTCGGGGGCTGCCCCGTGGCAGGGAAAGGCGGAGTGGAGTATGTGTGGCAGCTGCTTGTGCCCAGAGAGGTTCGTGGGCCTGTGGATGGGCTCCCAGACCCTACACCAGGCTGACAGGATCAGTTTTTGGAGCTCTGAATTGTGGTCCTGAAGGCAATCGTAGATAACAATCTCCTCGAGGTTGGAAAAGCACCTCAGTGGTTTCTAAAAGCAGATCTGTAGCCTGGCTGCCGCAGAACCACCTGGGCAGGATTTACTTCTGGTGTGGCCGCTGGGGTAAGGCCTATAACTTTGTGGGAAGAGATTGAAAGGGATTGAAGAAAACACCAAATCATGAAGTGTTTTCTTCTAGGCTACAGAATCATAAGTGATTTTATCTCCTACTTTGTAATTTCTTGTATTTCCAAGCTTTCTACAGTTAACATGTATTGCTTTTATGATAAAAATATATAGTAAATGATTTCTGATTTTTAAAATGTCACCCAAAGAGCTTGTTCAATATGCAAATTCCTGGGACCCTTTCCTGGAGATTCTGACTCAGTTGGTCTGGGTGGGGCCTGGAGACTATTTACACTAACCCCTCAGCGGTTCAGTGACACAATTGGGTGTGAAAACCACTGATCTAATTCAATACCTGCATTTTCCTTATAAGTCAAGTGAGGACTCACAAACAGGTTGGTGGGAAATCCCAGCCTAAAGCCAGGTCCTCTTATCCCTGGTATGGGGATCTATCCACCACCCATAATGCCTTCCTCGCCAATTCATGAGCCCTGAGGACGTCACAGGCAGAGGCGTGGAGCCCAGATTCTTCCCGAGGGCTGGCCATGTGCCCTGCCTCCTGCATCGAGGCCTTCCCTCTGACAGCGCTCTCCAGGTCTCAGTTGCTTCTGGGTCCGCCAGTATCCTCAAATGATGGAGGTGAGAGTGCTGCCTTGCCTCATCGCTAGAGACCTGAGGGCCCAGGAAGTTACGCAGTCAGCAGGTGGCCTCTGTTAGTGGAATTTGGGGGAAACTGAGGCATACACAGATGGGATTGGCCCAGGCCCCAAATCACAGAATTATCATCTCCCTTCCTTGGCCGTTGAGCTGTTTTGAGATGATTTAGTAAGGAGAGGATGGCAGGTTTACTTTGGTATAAAGAAGGGCTCATGGTAGCACTGGGAGCACAGTGAAAATGGGAAGGGGTGCTGCTCTAGGGCCAGATTGCCTGGGTTCAGTCTAGTCCCTGCCATTTACTAGCTCTGTGGTTGTTGTTACCTAACTCTTTCGGTTATCTCGTCTTGATGGGCCTGGTAATATATACCTACTTCATAGGGTTGTTGAGAGGACCAAAGGAATTGAGTATGTATAGAGCAGTGTTTCCCATAGTATAGCATGCCTCGGGGTCACCTGGGGAATCTTCTGAGTTGGTGGGTCTACATTTCTAGGAAGCTTTTTAGGTGACGCCGAGGTTGCTGGCCCATGGACCACACTGAGCAGCAAGGTTGTAGAGCTTGCAGAACAGAGCCTGGCAGCACTCTCCATGTTACTGCTGTTGTTATGATCATGAGTATTATTGATACTTGGCCTTTTCAAACAAGCACCTGAGGAGATTTGGGATTCCAGCAGACTGGCTTCTCCAGGGATCAGTCTTTTCCTGGATTCTCCTTGTGTTCCGCCACGTGACCTTTGCACCTGTCCTGGGCAGCAGCTGGGGAGGGGAGGAGAAGGGAGGGGGTCCTCTGCCCAGCTGCTACAAGCCTGCATCTTCGGGTTTGTAGCTGAGTCCATTTTCACGCGGCTTTACTCTTAACCAGATTTTGTTAAGCCGGGTGTGTTTCCTCTTTTTACTCATCTTTGTTTACAAAACATGAGGAAGCCATCAGTCTCTACCCAGCCTGTGTCTGCCAGGCCTCTTCTGTGGCACACCCGATTTCCCTTCCCCTCCTAGCAGGAGCTGTGCCTCCAGCTTGCTGGGTTATTTTCCAGTCTCTTCCGTAGGGGAAAGAGGAATGCTCTCGTCGTGGATGTGGGGCAATCTGTGTTCACCTGCGTTGTCGGGCTCTGAGGTCAGCCTCAGTGGATACTGCTCTTCTCTTTGTGGCCTAGGGCAGGTTCCCTGGGGACAGGTCAGGGAGGCCGGGCTGGGTGTAACTTCAAAGCTCTGGGAGTCCAGGAAACCTGGGCTCACTGTCCAGTTGTGCCACCGACTTAGTCTATCCTCTTCCCATGTGACTAGGAGCAGTTGCCTGGCGGGGGCTGGGCCGTGGTTAAAGACAGTTTAAGAGAGGGCTCCAGCTCCCCCGGACACCTCACATAAACTTGCTTGCTGCCTGGGCCGCTGAAGTAATCCAAGTCCAGCTTGTGCTGGCTCCTCTCTGCACACTAGGTTTTTATTCCCCTGTCCACTGAGAAGCCTGTGGAGAGGCCCCAGCCCAGTCCTTCTGCCCTGGCAGACAAAGAGAGAACAAAGACTGCCTCTTCCAGCACCCGCTAGTCCCCTCCGGGCCTCTGCCGGCCCGGGGAAATGGTACCTGTGTGGGCAGGGCACCAGCCAGCAGCCTGTGAGCCACTGACCCCTGAACTTTGCCCCTGGCTTCCCAGCCTGCCGGCAGGACCTGGGATAACCTCCAGAGCGTAGTGTGTATTCCTTGTTTTTGTTTTGTTTTCAAGTATGTTCTTGCTTAACGTTTAATTGGCTCCAGTCAGTAGGAAAGCGCTCCAAGAGGGATTATTTATGGCTTACTGTCAAGAGCAGCTATAAAAAGGGCAGCACAGAGCTGGAGACGCTGGGAAGGGAGAGCGGGCAGGCACACGTGTGTGCGTGCGTGTGTGTGTGCGTGTGCATGTGTGTGTGTGTGTGTGTGCGTGCTTGCACTGGATGAAATCAGATTTTTGCTGCCTCAGCAGTGTGGTTTAAATTGAAGATTAACCCTTTGACCTTCACAGTGTCAAATCACTTGCAGATGGAGGCCCCCCCTTTTCCCCTTGTTCTCTCTGTTACTTTGCAGTGGGGGGAGAGAGGAGGGCACTTCTTCTCTTTCTCTCTGAAGCAAGTTTGTTGTTCACACAGCTGAGGTTTGAGGGGCTCGGGAGCCAATCTGATTAAAAGCAGCACTTGGCTAAACTCTGGAAAATCCTGCAAGCAGGGGAAAAAGTTTAATCCTTTTGTGCATAGTGCACACAGAGCCTGGTCTTTTCTTTTTAATGTTAAAACTGCAATTGTTTTTGGAGGACTCAACTATCTCCTCCACACACCACTTCTCTTTGGCCTCCCCCCTTCTCCCCCGAGTTTGCCGAACTGATAGGATTAAAGAGCCCTGAGACGTGTAGATCGGAACTTTTATTGGAAATGATAAGGAGTCCTCCAAGGATGTATTTGGGAGTTTTTTTTTTTTTTTCTTTCAGCACCAGCAGAACCAAAATCGCATGTGGTGGCAGATCCTCCTCTTCCTACACAACCTTGCTTTGAACGGAGAAGAGAACAGGAACGGGGCAGGTCCCAGGTGAGGCTGGGCTGCCCTCTTCTCATGGGGCACCAGGAACACGGTCTGGAACAGGAAGGACGTCGGGCAGGACTGACACTGTGTCTTGTGGAGTTGTTTTTTGTTGTTGTTGTTTTGTATTTTTAAAATTTCTTTGGTGTACATACGACATACCCAAGCGGGACTTGTTTTCCCTGTTCAGGGCCTCAGCCAGGAATGGGGCCTTTGTCAAACACTGTTGAAGGAGAGGCTGATGTGTCTGTGATGGCGGGAACTCCCAAGGGCTCTGACAAGTAGATTCTTCAGTCTCCAGCTGTCGAAGATGACCCGTTAGCAGTGTTCTCCTGGGAGTGGACTATAGTTTTTCCACAGGAACTCGGTTAAGAAATAGACTGGATTAGTCTCCCAGTTCCACCAAACCTGTCAGCCTTCCACTGTGGACGGGGCGATGATCCTGACAGTTACATTGCTTTAAGCCACCAGGGCCTCGGTCACGACCTTTCCGGCTGAGAACGGCAGCTTTACCAGGCTGGCCAGCCAGCTCCTCGTCTGTCTGGGTTCTCACTTGGCCCAGCCAGTCCTGCCCCAAGGGCTCAGGGATTCTTGCCCAGCCCCTGTCACCTCCAACAGACCTCAGGGAGGGTCGGGTTTCTCCAAGGACCCCTCAAATATGCCGAAAAATGAACCAAACTCCTGGATAGGCCTCAGATCTGACTTGGTCCCACTTCGAGGCCCCAGGATTGGTCCAGGGTGCAGAGCCACCACTGCCTCTGGCTGTCTGGGACTGGCTGGGTGTCAATCACAAAGGAGCCAAATAGCCAGTCAGCGTGCCATAGCCAGCAGCTTATGCCTTTGTCAGCTCTTCTTTCAAAAGCCCCAGCCAACGGACTGCATTCCACCCCCAGCAACAGCACCGTAGGACATAAAGGGGCAGGTTTGCAGCAGGGCCGGGAGATGTGGCGGCCACCCCACCAATAGGAGTCAGCCCTAGAGGATCCCAGACCCCTTGGTTTCCTTGGAAACAACATACCTCCTCCCCCATATCCCCATTCCTTTTTCACACCTAGTGGGATTCAAGAAGAAGCCAGGACAGTGGCTTTGCCAGCTGAAAAGTGACTTTTAGAGTTAAAGATAATGATTAGAGTGCAGAACCATCAAAGCTGGGTACACATTTCCTGTCTTCCTTCAGCTTCCGGCTAGGCCAGGAGGGCGTGCTCTGGAACCCAGCAGGACCGCAGCTGCCTCTGACTTCTTCCCTTCTCTCCCTGCCGTGGCACTCACGGAGAGAACTCAAAGCAGCCGGTCTGGCAGATCTGATAGCAGACAAAAGGAATCTGTTAACCAGACACCTAGAAATTAAATTATAACTTTTGCATATGTGAGAAAGGACAACATTGGTGCTAAAGGTGAACCAAGGCCCAAAGGAAGGATGGCTTCTCTGGGCAGAGAAGGCCCTGGGGCCACCCAAGGAAATTGGAGGAGTCCAGAGTAGACTCTCACATCTGAACAAGCCCAAGCTCCTCCAGTTCTGCAGAGAGGAGGTCTTCAGTGCTGTTGAAGGAGACCTTGATCTTCTGGATGTGCTGTTGGGCAGGTTGTTCACTGCACAAGAGCATCTGCAGAGGGAGCTAATGGGGGCTAAAATCCAGCCTGTGCTCTGCTCGCTAAGTTGTGTGCCCCGGTGTGAGGCTGCTTGTGCCCAGAGGAAGGGGTGACTTTCCTAATTTGCACAGAGGTGCCCTATGGGCTTACAGCAGCCTCCGGGGAAGGACTTTAAACTATGTGCATAAGCCTTTGTTTTGTTCTGCTCAGATGTTCTGGAGATATTACCTCTTCTTGGCCAGAGTTCTATTCTCAGGGTGTGTACCATGGTCTGTCTGCTAAGAAGATGGATTCCTGCTTATGAGGAGAAGGAGCCAGGGACCAGGCGTGAGGACTGGCTCTGGGATACACTGACCATGGTGAAATCCAGCCTTCCCTATGCGTCTACATACCATTTTATGATGTGTATAGGACATCTGTTGTTTTCCCCTCTCCTGAATCAAGGCTGTGACAGGCAGGCTGCTGGTGTATGCTTGAGTGGCACACACCAAAAAACCAGGTTTGTTTATACCAGCCACTTTTAACCCCTCTTGGCAGACTTTCCACCTAAGCTGAGTGAGAGAGAAAATGGTCTAGACCTTGGCGCTGAGGCAAAGCCATCAGCTTCAGAGACCTTGCCAGGCCCGGGCTGGATGTGGCCTGTCCTGAGAGCTGAGCCCAGAGTTTGACAAGCCCACCTGAACATCAAGCCTGGGGCTAGGTGGAAGGTGGTCTGACTGCACTGTCCCCATCTTATGCAAAGCGAGGAACTCACTATCTTAGGTGAGCCAGAACAAAATTTAAGCCCCCTATATTTCCCTTCCTTCCCCCCAAAACACACAGGAGGTAACAGGCAAAGTAGCCCTAAGGAGAGAAGTTCTTCCTGGCTGGTGGTTTTTAATTGGCCTAGTGATCTAGACTGGCCCCTCCCCCCTCTGCCTGGGCAGTTGGCTTTAACATTCCTAGAGTCCAGCCTCAGGAGATGTGCCCCTCCCGCTGGGCCCCTCAGGCTCCCATCCCCCACCCCCAGGAGCTGGCTGTCTCTGGTGAGGGGTGGACAATCAGATTTAGAGGGAGGGAGAGTCTGACCTGCATCCTGACCTCTAACCAGCTGAAGACGTGGGGTTTTGTGGCTTGCTGAGGGTGGGGGTTGGGAGAGAGACTGGAAACCTCCCTCCTCATCCTAGAAATGCTCTGGAGGAAGGGAAGGGTCAAAATGGCCCTTCTAATTCAGAACCCTAGAGTAGTGGTTTCTAGAAGTTAGTAGACAGATCTGGGGAGGGACCTCCCCCAGCCAGACACCTGACTCCCCCAGTGAGGTTGGAGGACTCAGCCTGGCCCCTCTGCCTTGGCGTGTTTCAAAGTCTGGGCCACAGGAGAGCTGCCCCTGGGACCTTCTCTTGCTCAATCTGAGATGGAAAAAGATCACCTCCCAGTGACCTCCCTCAGCCCCAGGGGAGTGGGTCTGTGTCCAAAGCTAGGTGACAGGCTTGTTTCCAGGGCCAGGGAGTGCCCAGCTGACCTATCTCACTGCCCCAGGTGGCCCAGCCCCATCCACAGGCAGCTCCCACCTGCGCATGTCTGAGAGGTGGTTGTTTGGGAGAGTCTAGCCAAGGCCACCATCAGCTCAAAGCCTCCAGGGAAGGGTGCTATGGAGCCACTGTGACTGTCCTGGTCAGCAAGGAACACACTACCCCAATGAGCATTTGTCATCTTTTTGGGGGACATGATGGGAGGTGGGGTAGGGAGAGGGGAAAGCAGCAGATGTGGGAGGACTTCAGTGGCCGTGGCTGCTGGGTTTCTGTAAGTCAGTGCTAGACCAGGCTGGAGAAAGCTGCAAAGTCCTTCTGTGTGTGGGTGAGGACCCTTGGAAGCAGGCCATCCTGGCCGGATGCTCGGGCTGGAAGGGGTTAATCTGCCACCCTTAGGCAGCCTTAGGGCTGGTGGGGACTTGAGGGAATGGCAAGTAAAGCCCAGCTCTTCCACTGATGTGCCAGCCTCCCCACCTCGCCACTGAGCTGAAGGTGCTCAGAGCCACACGTGGTCCCGGGACTGTACTGTCTCTCTCTGTCCAGGTGGCCAGCGCCTCTCCCTGCTCTGGGAGCATTGCCCAGCCTTCTCCCCTGTCCCTGGGTCCGCAGGGGCTGTCGGGGGAGACCCAGTGAGAATGTAGCATTTCGTTCATCCCCAGATTAGCTGCCCTGGGGCCTGGGCACTCTGCCTCTGGGAGAGGGAGAGGAGTAGGGACCCATTTTTTTTAACCTGTACAGAGTCTTTGGCTTTATGTTTATGTTCTGCACCTGCATATATGTGTGTGTACATATCTTTTCCCCCATTGATTGGTACAATTTTTAATAAAACCATTTAAAGCGAAGCTGATCTTTTCTTTTTCAAGGTGTAGTAAAAAAACGAGGGGATCCGTTAGGAAATTAAAGAACCCTGACTTGTTTCTTGGCTGCCGTCTTGAGTTACCCTGGAGGCTCTTGGCTTTTGTTATGATTTCTTTTCCCCTCTTGGGGTTGAGAAGAGTGATTCTGGCGACACAGCGAGCAGTGAAGCAGAGGCCCTACAAGGTGGAAAGATGTGGACTTTGGAATCCATCGGATCCCAGTTCCAGCCTCTACCAGCTGCATGATCTTGGGCAAGTTATCTAACCTCTCCGAGCCTTCATTTTTCCATGTGGAAAACATAGCTATGCCTGCCTTGCAGAATTAAAGGGGATTTGTCAAAGGACCTGCCCAACACTGGCACTCAGTGATGGAAAGGGCCCCTTCCACACACACCCCGCTGCCCCTTCCTTCTGTCAAGGTAGCAGCTCAGGAGGCATGTTAGTTGTAGGGGGACTGCCTCACTTGCCGTTCTTTGTGGGTTAACAATGTGTCTGACTCAAAAGGGTAATTTAAAGCTCTCAACAGAGTTCTGAAAATCCTCAGGAAAAACTATTCCTGGCTGGGCACAGTGGCTCAGGCCTGTAATCCTAGCACTCTCGGAGGCTGAGGCAGGAGGATCACTTGAGGCCAGGAGTTCAAGACCAGCCTGAGCAAGAGCGAGACCCCCGTCTCTACAAAAAAATAGAAAAACTAGCTGGGCGTGGTGGCACATGCCTGTAGTTCCAGCTACTCGGGAGGCTGAGGCAGGAGGATCACTGGAGCCCAGGAGCTGGAGGTCTCAGTGAGCTGTAATGACGCCACTGCACTCTAGCCCAGGTGACAGAGCAAGACCCTGTCTCAAAAAAAAAAGAAAAAAAGCCCCCAAACAAACAAAACTTCCTGATTCTATCAGCAATGAGTTGTGAACTAAAGGGCCAACGTGCCTTGCGTTTGCTGGGCTCTCCATGATCTAGGGAGTTGTCAGCTCTCTGAGGTCCAGCCTTGGACTCCAGTTCCTACCCTGCTAAAGGGTTGGAGCTTGACTTGATGCTGGATCGTCTTGTCTGACCTCTCTCTCTTATCGATGAGTAAACTGAGGCCCAGAAAGGGGACGTAATTTTCCTCTGGGCTCTTTAAATAGCTGAGTCAGTCTGAGGGGAGGCTCGCCCCATCCGTCTT